GTCCTCCAGTGGCTAGTGGGGAGGAGGGAGCTCCAGTGAGGCTGGAGCACCCCTCCACCCCCTCCCCCGCTCACCTCCCCCTTAGTCAGTGAACTGGATAGCCAGGGTTTTACATGCCTACTTTGTACCATCCTGCTGGTTCACCCAGACGCCAAGCCCTGACCTACAGACATCCCAGCCATGTCTGCATGCGCCATCAACCCTGAACTTAACCCGTAGGGGCAGCCACCTCCCAGCCCTCCGAACACTAGAGCTGGAGGCACCGTGTCCATCCCCTGCCCTCCCGGCAGGACCCAGCACCGTCTAGATCCCTCAGCCTGTTCCTCTGGGAACACGTAGGAGAAGAGCGAAGTCAGTAAATCGGGGCTTTTGGAGCAAGGAAGAAAATGAGCCGCCACAGCAGACGGTTCATGGCCTTCCCTTCTACAGCACACATGCTGGGTAATAGGAATGTCAGGCACCTTCGATCTGAGCAGCTCTCGAGGGATGTTCTCCCACGTGAACCAGTGTGAGAGGCCATTGGTAGTCGGGCTGTGAAGGTGCATACGCTCAGGGAGAGACACATGACTCCCATTCACGCGGGAGAGACCCCGTCTGAGCCAGAAATAAAATCCAGCTCTCCAGCCTCGAGTGTTTACCCACAAGAACGTCCAGCCCTCATCCCCTTCCCTCTTGGGGCACTGACCTCTCACAAGCCTGACCATAGGCCTCCTTGGCACTAGCGCCGGTCTGGATCTCGGGTAACCCAGCTATCGCGATGAAGACAGAGGCGGGAGCTAAGGAGCGGGCCAGTCGCTTCGTTTTACCGGAACTGGTCTCTCCCCAGCGTCTCTGGTCCCTCGCACAGAGCACATGTGCTACCGCTGCGGAGCCCTCAGCCCATCTGCTGCGGGCGCCGTGCAGTTCTCTCCAGGCTGTGCGCACATGGCCATTTGAAGCCGAGGGAGCAGCTGCACGCTAGGGAAAGCACATTCATTCTCCTCCAGCGCATTAGGCTGGGGAGCCCCGGCAGGGGGCCTGCATTGAAGCCGGGACCTTGCCGCTCGGTTTGCTTGGCCAGTGACGCTCCGCTCGTTAGCTTGATGGAGTGCGCTGTCACCCACGATGGCCTCTTCTGCGCCAGGCAGCGGCGTTGGCTGAGTCTTGTGCTTGGCTAGCGCGAGGGGCTGGCGCTGGCCGTGTGGCGCTCTGAGAGGGCGGGGGGAGGAAATGAATCTTGCGAATCGCCTCGGGTTACATGGGATGAGTAGGAAGCAGCTGATCCCGCGCAGCCAAGATGGAGTCAAGCGAGACTTGATCATCCCAGCCTGCCAGAGGTTTTATTCGCTGCCTGTGCTTTGTCTTCCCAGCCCCGGAAGGGAAGCGTTCCTCTGGGCTGACAGCTGTGTGGGTAGCTCGCAACCGCTTTGCAGTCCTGGATCGCATGCATTCGGTAAGGGCGCGTCCCGGGGTCCTTGGAACTGGGCGGAAGTGTGTGTGCACGGAGAGGGGCAGTCGGACTGCTCACGTGTGGGCCCTGGCCCTGGCCCTGGCCCTGGCTTAACAGGAAGCGTGCTGGAGACGTGACATTTAAACTAATGAAAAGGTGTCGGGTAGGGAAGTGAAAGGTTCACCAGTTAACCGGCACCTGGCAGGGGCTGGAATGGGT